ATTATAATTATTAAAAATAAATAACGCGGAATAATAATGACGGAAGGCGAGAATGGACGGACGACGAATGAACACGCTATGAATTACTCACCGTGGTCTTTTCTAAACAACGAAGTAGATGATGATGCTGCAATTCGAATATATCCTCCTCCTTGAAGTTGTCGTCCAGCTGCAGGCCGCTCTCCTGCGCGGCCAGTCGCGCCTCGGCCGCTTTCTTTTTGCTGACGAACGCCGCTCCACTCGACGCTTTCGCGATCCTGATGCGCGCCAATCTGGCTTTCTGCAATCAAAAACAAACGGGTGCGATCAGTTTCCGATTGGCCGGATGTGTGCCGCGCGTTATTGTTAAACCGTTGACAAAAACGGGATGGAATCTCGGTAAACGAAAACAAGCGGGCGTTGCCAATGCGCTGAAAACACTTGCTGTGTTTTAAGAAGGTCAACCCAGTTTGCGGGAACTTTTGGAATCGAACCAAGTTTCGAAAAAAATCCCGACTGGAAGACGTTCGTTCAAGGGAAAAGAGGAGGAGGACACTAGCATGTAAGAGCGAAGAGACGTGGCGCGTTTATTCCCCAGGAAAATCACCGCGAAGAGGGAACGCGCGACGGCGATGAAAATCCGGAGATAACGCATCGGCAGTTGCGCTCGTTTCGAATTCGCCCGTGAAACAACTCATTAGACTAATAACGATGCATTGTCTCTGGCCATTTCCTCTCGTCCTCTCTTTCCCTACTTTTCTCCCGTCGCTTATTTCCCGGCGACGCTCGGTCAATTAAGCTTTTAGCGGGAATTGTCCGGGAAAAATTACTGTGCGCGCATCGCATTCGGGCGAACCGCAAATACCCGATTCGACGACGTGTTTTTTAAACGCATCCACGCCCGTTTCCGGCAACGATTATGCCGCAGTCATCGGATTTTCGCTTATTTCGTCGTTCGAAGCCGACCATTCCGGTAAGAGTTCCCGGGAATGAGAATTGCTACCCTCTTTTCGACGCTCGACTCGAAGTAATCCCTAGCGAGTAAACAAGTAAGTACTTGCGCCGTGTAGTCAAGCCCGTCTCTCTGGTGCTTATCACAGCTTCGCACGAGTCATAGGATGATCTACGGTGATCCGTACAAGTACTAGTTCCATAACAAATCTCTGTTTTTTCAGAAACGATTATAAGTCAATTCTATGATCGAGAATGGTACATACAGTGCTGTCCACTTCGATAGCCTCGAACAGCTCATGTTATTTTTTCGTAGGAAATTGTATGTAATAAAATAATATAGATACGTAAAATGATTAAATATAAAATTATTATAAGATTTTTTCTCTGATCTATAAAAAAAAGAATCAACTAATTATAACTAAGCACTTGAGGAGAAAAGAACGTATAAAAAAACGTATTTTCCAAGTGACCTCAAGGGATTCCGGACCAGGTTTAAAAATGTGACGCGTTCACGTAGCTGTTGTTTTATAAAGATTTATTCTGCCAAACTTAGCGAAAGTCGGACATAAAGTATTTGGTAAATAATTGTTACTGTATGCTTTAACTTGCTATAACTCTGAATTATAAATTTTACAAAGTAAAGTTACTTTTATACTTTATAAAGTTTTATTACTGTGGAACTGGTGGGCAATTAGAAAATTTTACTACTAGCAGAGGTACAAAAATGGGCGGTAGGTATAAAATGGTTGACTAACCCTGCTGTATGCCAATAAAAAAATGCATTCACGGTATCAACGAAAGTCACGACTTTTTCACGTAAAAGCAATTTTTTCATCCTGACAACACGCGATTTCTGTGGTGGTCGCTAGTATCAATATAATTCAGGAGACGAATTAATAGTTACTATTTATCTCGAACAAACAGTCATGTATTCTTCTTCTTCGGATTCTACTCGCGTGGAAAACGTAAAGAACACGGGGCGGGAGTTAAACGACGTCCGCGTCGGTACGCAATCAACGAACCAACCGGCTTCAGCGAATCCTCCATTCGTGCGTAATGTCTCTTCTATAAAAAAAAGAATCAACTAATTATAACTAAGCACTTGAGGAGAAAAGAACATATAAAAAAACGTATTTTCCAAGTGACCTCAAGGGATTCCGGACCAGCTTTAAAAATGAGACGCGTGCACGTAGCTGTTGTTTTAAAAAGATTTATTCTGCCAAACTTAGCGAAAGTCGGACATAAAGTATTTGGTAAATAATTGTTACTGTATGCTTTAACTTGCTATAACTCTGAATTATAAATTTTACAAAGTAAAGTTACTTTTATACTTTATAAAGTTTTATTACTGTGGAACTGGTGGGCAATTAGAAAATTTTACTACTAGCAGAGGTACAAAAATGGGCGGTAGGTATAAAATGGTTGACTAACCCTGCTGTATGCCAATAAAAAAATGCATTCACGGTATCAACGAAAGTCACGACTTTTTCACGTAAAAGCAATTTTTTCATCCTGACAACACGCGATTTCTGTGGTGGTCGCTAGTATCAATATAATTCAGGAGACGAATTAATAGTTACTATTTATCTCGAACAAACAGTCATGTATTCTTCTTCTTCGGATTCTACTCGCGTGGAAAACGTAAAGAACACGGGGCGGGAGTTAAACGACGTCCGCGTCGGTACGCAATCAACGAACCAACCGGCTTCAGCGAATCCTCCATTCGTGCGTAATGTCTCTTTCGCTACAACTCCGCAAGCTTCGTGAGATTCCTCGCAGTGCGAGGATCGAGAAATTTACATGTCATTCTGCACTATTATACAGTCGAAATGAGTATTAAGCTAACGAACTCCAAAATGGAAAAATTTTTTAATATCGGATCAATGCCCTTTTTAAGTAAATGTTCAAAAATGTCTACATTCTAAATAAAATTTCACATGTGTTAATTTTAATTCCATCGTATTTTCAAATCTCTTTAATAATTCGCTTAACAAATATTCTGTTCAGTTCCGGTCTTGTTACTTTTAATTAACGGAGTTTCTTACGCCGCAAATAAATTGTATTACTATTATTGGTGGAAAAAAGATATAAAAATACGTTCCATCGGCTTTCATCAGTCTATATTAAGATCGTTACGGTCTCGAATTTAATAATGACTGACCAGTATTTTTAACTGGCCGCGATTCTGAATTGTACGAAAATGAAATCCTACTGGGGTTAACGTGTAATTTACATTACGTCCGATGAAAATCTATGCTGCGCGAGCGTGAAAGTTTCCCGTTTATCACAGTTCGTGGATCTCGCCAAATTCTTCTATAAAATTTGCCTAACGGTGCGATAATGCACGATCGCTGAATTACGAGTCAACCAGTTACGATGGCAACGGCGATAAGGCCACGAAATTCATCGTTTCGAATTCACCGTTGGGATCTATCTTTAATATGTAAATATATATCGTAATCACATAGCGCTGAATTTATTTCAACAAGACTGTACGTACCATAATGGAGATACATAAGGTGTGTTATTTTACGCAGCTGACGGAGTTCATGGCCTTCCTTGTAACGGCTATATTGTCTTATCCATCAATTTTATTTCGTGTTAAAAGAAGGAAAATTAAGAAGTATTGAAAGTGAAAATTAACTTTGACTCACAAAGTCTAAACTATAAATAGAGAAGAAATATTTCTCATTTTATATACATAAAAAAATATTATGATCAAACATGAAATAAATCTGTAAGATGTAAAAGTTAATAAATGCAATAACGATGATGCATTGCAAATTAATGAATAGAGCGTTTATAAATCATTTCAGTTTTTACAACTACTAACAGCGCAGGCTGGCATTTTTGCCGCTTTTATCAGGATTTATTTTTTAAAAAGATAGATAGCCAGTATAACCGCTATATGAAATGCGCAGTAGGTGGCGAAAATGGTACCACTGGAAGAATACACCTTATGTATTTCCATCACAGTATATACTGTAGGAATCATCGAGATTGCTTTGTTTGCTTCAATCTTTGAATTAGAAACAATTTTACCAAATGTTTAAAAGTTTTAATGTACTAATAGAAGAAAGTAACTGATAACGTTATAATAACAGAAGAGAACTGAGAATTAAACTTCAGTTGCTTTATTTAGGGATACATTTTTCTGCATGATCTGGTGAAAAAAAAATATGAAGTCCTAGTCGTCGGAATTTATCCGTGCAGAAGTTACGCATTGTTAAAGTAGCATAATTCTGAATATTATTACATGAGTAACTCGACCTTTCCAATTTCATGTTCCCTTCTTTTTCCACTTATTACAATCAGAATATAGAAAAACAAATGTCTCTAAAAGCATCAAGTTTAGCCTGAGATTGGTCGTAAGCAGACGCCCACTGTCAATATTATATTCCAACTTTAATGTACTTTAACGTCACTTTTATGTTGTCTCGTTTGGCGTTACGTTTTCCTAATTGTCTCGAAGCTCGCGAAAGGGAGTGTACGTAGTGTGGCATGGTCGCAGACAGTAAAAGCCAAAAGTGCACGCGATCGCGGGATATGCACGTTATCCCTGGCTAGGAACTAAGGATCCGACGACAACTTTCTGACATTTCGTAGCTGCGGTTCACCGCGCAAACAGCCGGCACGTGACACCTTAGGAACGGTAGTCGCGAGCCTTGGCGCGATGCTGCTCGATAGTGGAAGCACTCCATTAAGAGCCGGCACAAAAATATACCATTTCGCCAAGGATATATAAATGTGGTAAACACCACAGGAGGCGATGCTGCTATAATTGGAACGTCGTCGATGATGCGCTGACGTTGCTCTAATAGCGCGTAATTCACGCATCGACCAACTGCTATACAAGCGTGTATGCGTTTGTTGGCCATTGGCTAAAGTTAGGTCGGCGCATAGGGAAATCGAGCTACGTAAATGTTTGACTTCTTGTATTTATCGATAGGAAAGAGGACATGGATATTCTCTGTCAGAGGGTCTCACTACTATACTAAATCAACAGTAGCCTCCAGTGACGCTCCAGGGACTGACTGGACATCTCAGTGAGGATTTCTGATTAGCTGTGAAAAAGTGCGCCGAAACCAGAAATAGGGATAAAGCGAAAGTGTAAATATACTGCTGTTTGACGTCAGACTTCGATCATTCTACAAAACTCACAGAATAAATATTTATTACAAATAATGTAACATTATTTTATTATTATCGATATTTTATTTTTATTGCCGAAAGAACGTTTGAAATGTTAATTTTTATTTCACCGACGTATTGATAGTGAACATAATTCATATTCACTTATTAATTTTAACATTTCGCGTTCTCCGGTTTTATGTGGGTGTCCAGTCC